AAATTCTCTCTTGCATGTTTGAAATTCATCTTCATTTGGGGAAATCATCAAGTTTCAAGTTGTCTTGTGGTGTTTGATCATGTTTTGACAAGTTTGATACAAGAAAAATTCATGCATGTTGTGTTGATAAACATTCTTGAAGTTTAAGTTGAAATTGGGAACTTTTGACAAACCCTTGGGCCATGATTTTATGAAATGATCCTAAATTCTTCATGCTTTACAAGTTTACTATGTTATCTCAAGTTTTGGGGCCCAAGAGATGTGTTTTGAAGGTTGGAATTCGAGTTTTGAGCTTGAAAGTGCAATCTGAAAATTCTAGAATTTGTATCTACGCTCAAGCGTGGAAGTTCCCGCTCGAGCGACCAATCTGAGTGCGTGCACTCCGCTCGAGCGACCAAAAGTCCGCTCGAGCGTGAATTGCAAGCTCCCAGAAGTTTCATGTCTTTTACAGATCGCTCAAGCGAAGGAATATGCGCTCGAGCGACCTTATTTTCAGAAATTTTGCCTAAGTGTTCCAACTCATGTTTTGGCATCCTCATTGCATCTTAGGCATTCCTAAGCCTTAATTAAGCTTTGATAATGAGGTTATGGATTAGAAACACACTAAAAAAAGAATGTACTAGGTTCCGAGACTGCAAGTGTGTGTGTGTTTTAATCAATGTGCTAAGTATGAACAAGAACTAACGTAATGAAAGTTAAGCTATGTTGGCCATATGAACGTGTAATAATGAGATATGTCGTGTTATGTACTTTTGTGATTGTAGGTCAACATTTGAAGATTGATTAACCGTTTGCGAGAACCACTGTGAGTAAAGTTATCATAAAGATACGTTTATATGAATTGTGTTCCAAATGAAATATGATAAGATATGATTTCTGAAATGTTATCTGTTTACGTGAACGAACATTCCAAGTTTGAAATCTATTATGACATCCTTAGATAGTCCCAAGTCATGGGAGACGGCATGAAAATGCGGGTCCATGACATACAAGTAATTGCAAGATCTCGTTAGCCACTTCATTGTGGTGATATGTGTTTAATCGGTATCCGGAACCGATTACTCTAGTCGGAAGACGTTTTGTGATGTGTTATATGGGATGTACCATTATTATGTTCTGATATGAGAATGTTTATGCTCTGGTCTGTTTTTTGCTTATGATATATTCGGATTTCGTTCATTAACCTCTTTACCTTAATGTTATTCATTGGGCTTTACCTCATTGTGTGTATATATATGTATAGGTGAGCATTCTGGAGCCCGAGCCTGAAGGCTTTTGTCTGGATCTGTGTTCCGTTGTTAACCAACCATTGTGTCTCACGTTAAGGTTCCTGAAGTGTCCAGTGTTTAAGTTTTGTTGTTTCTGTATATATAAGACTTGATTTAATTCTGTTGGCTGTACTTAAGATACTTTAATGTGTGTGGGTATAATGTATGGTTGACTTTTGACTATGTATATAAAGTTTCTAAATATTCCGTTTCATATAAGTCAGCACAGCTTATTAGACAACTATATTTATGTATTTACTTCCGCTAGCCCCTTAATCTTATTAATCTGTTCAGAGGCCTTCGGTAGCCCAAGGATTACTGGTCGGTTATGATGCTAAACCTATAGGGGCGGGTTTGGGTCGTGACAGCAACTAGCTCGGCAGAGGGATCGACGATGCGAGGCCTTTTCTCAGCCCGGCGATTATCTTTCTTGTCTGCACAGCAGCTGGTGACGCCAGTGCAACCACGGTCCCACTCGATTGATCGGCAGCGGCTGTGCGGGAAGGGATGCTCCGTATCTCGGTGGATGTGACGGTGATGAGATTTTTGATGCGGCTTCGTTTGGCCATCTCCTCTGCCTCGGTCAGCCGGATAAGGGGCACGTCGGGTAATGTGGGGTCAGGAGGTGGCGACAGCGCTCGAAGGAAGTCTGTCACTCTACTCTGGCGTGGAGCGGAGTATCGATAGGTCGGTACGTAGCCGAGAAGTTCGTGACAATCTCAGTTTTGGTACCGTAGCATGGTTCTGATGGCTGCTTCATTGGGATAATGGTAGTTGGCTTGCAAAGCCCCAATTGCTGCAAAAGAATAAAAGATATTAAGTACGGAATTTAGAAAGGAAGAAATTTGACCGAGCAGTTAACACGGCTTACATGTTTCACCGAAGTTTTTGCTTATATACCAGCCCGGCATGTCGGCCGTTTCATAATTACCGGACACCTAGAAAAAGTCGTCGTCGTGCATGTCTTTGTCCGGGGGCCGGTCACTATCTTCTCCTTGCCTGGTTTGATCTTTAAATAATAGGCAAGGCCGTTGCCCGTATGCCCGAGGGTTTACCGGCGAAGTATTTCGGCTAATCCTAGGTTGGTTCCTAGCCGGTTGTTCAATTCGTGGATCCCGTTAATTATCCTGTAAGTGTTGGTTGAGACTTGGGTTGGTGCTAGCCCGGTGCGCCGCAAGAACTTGCACAATAGGGGGTTAACCGGGAAGCGGATGCCACCTTCTATTGTAGAGAGCACGGTGAAAGGGCACTGGTCTAGTCTGCCCCAGGGGGTTGTTTCCTCGACACCGAGCTCGAGATGTACGTCGACTGGGATACCGTATTCTTCCCGAAACGCGGCTAGAGCGACCGGCGTGTCGACCAGGAAGCGGTAGCGCCCCATGTGTAGCCGGCTGGTTTTAGCACGGATGTGTTGGTTTGGCACAAACTCTTGTTTGGCAGCTGTTCGGTCTTTGAGAGCCTCAGTGTTGGTGCGTGGTCCCCTTGGACTCTGCAGGAAAAGGAGGGTAAGTGTAAGTGAGAGCGCGGTCGCGCAAAACGAGCTTGACTTTAGCTCGGTCAGGTAGAGTGCCAGACCACCCTGGTCATAAAGGTAAATCCAGAAGCTCAGCCACTCAAGCGGACCAGATGTTAGCCCGGTCAAGTGGTCAAACCCTCTACCTACCTCGATTCCTACAGGAGTTTTTTACAAACTCGCAATTTGCTCGGTTTAGATGTTTTTTTGGGATCAAAAGAAGACCTGGAGCTCGGTCTGCCCCAGATCTTCATGTGTTCATCACTGGAGCTGAAGAACAGCAAGGAGAACATGGGGCATGAGAGGTTTTTGGGAGCTATATCCTTAAACCTATTACTTTTGTGCCTTAAGATGTGAAATACCAAAGGAAAAAACAATAAAGGGGTTCGAAGAACTTACCAGAATGAGGGCGAGAGTCCAATCTTCGAGCACGAACCCAGACGAGAGCAGGAATAGTGTTTGAGTTGGGAGGTTGGCACTGCAACTTTGGGACGACAAGAATGAAAGAGAGACAATAGGAACAAACTGAAGGGAGATGTGGCGTGTTTATAGGAGAAAAGAACCGCCTAAATTTGAATCTGAAGAGACGGTTGAGTTGGCTTCTCGAGGCCAATAAATGGTCGACGCGCGTCCTCATTGACAGCGGCATCAGTATTGAAAAGACAAGTGGCGAGATGAGGCGTCAACCGAGCAAGCTTAGAAACCAAGCGTTGGGATTAGCGCGGTTTACGTCTTGCGAACTAAGAATTGAGGCAGGATTTACCCCGGTCGGATCATTTAATCCCAGTTACGCTTGCGCAGACGGAACTAAGGGGCAATTATGAGGGAGATTTATAATCTGGCTTTGGGCCATGGTAGAAGCTAGGTGGATAGGACCAAACATGTTGGGCCGAGCTAATTTGGGCCAGTCCATAGTGGATTTTGCCCGGTTGAGGCTCGGGCCCCCTGTTTAAGCCGAGCTGACTGAGGCCTCCCTGGAGTTGATCTTGCTCGATCATGGCTTAGGCCCGAGGTCCAGGTCCAATGTCTGAACCGAGCTTACTTGGCCTAGATGACCGCCTGCTAACCCGGGTTCCATGGGTCACACGCGTAGCTCGGCGAGAAATGTCTTCTGTTCATCGGTCGACCTGTCTTGAACTCGGCTCTGCTGGAATGCTTCCGAGCTCGGCTGTTATGGAGCTCGGCGAGTGAAGCACTCAGGCACGTTGCGCAGCACAGTCATGGAAAGCCGAGGTGATACCGCCGTAATGCCGAGCTCCCGCTAATGTAGTCTGGTGGTATGGTTAGGTGGTGATTGCTAGATTTGTGCTGACAGATGGGAAAGCAACTCCACGTGTCAAGAGACCAATGGAAGTAGATTTGAGCGCAGAAAGTATATAAGCAAGACTGCGCCCCCATGCTGAGGATGGAACATAATTTGGTGAGAAAAATCTAAACACTCAAGTCTCTCCTCTCTCTCTCTATCCCTGAGTGTGTGCTAACTTGACCATTGGAGGGGTTTTTCGGCCACACACCGCCAGGTAACTTACCGCCGTTGTGTTCGCAGGTCGATCGGACAGACGAGGAGCTTGGACGAAAGGAGTACGGGCACTGCAAAATATTTGCTCCCCGTACAATATTTAAAAAATAAACTCGTACAAAGTACCAGAGTGAAGATTATTACAACTGAAAGTGATATGCATTTCTATAGTAGATGAGCAAGCTAAATGATTTAATCACTCAATTGGTTCACCACACTACAACAAATTATATAAAGTAACAACCATAAGTCTTTAGACCATATCAAATAATAGCTTAAAAAATCAATAACAACCAAATGCACCAATCAACAACAATCAAAACCATGCCCATTATCAATATCAGGATCCCCTAACCTAAACGATGTAAATCAAATGTAATTGTGAAAAATGGCAATCAACTAATTACTTTCAAGCAATATTTTGAGAGAATCAGAAAGAGCCCATGCGGGTAATAAATGATGGAGAGATATCTTGTTGAAGCGTCACAAGAAAATAAAAATAAAAATAAAAATAAAAAATTTTAAAATAACACAAGCTTTGTCATGTCAGGATTTTGATTATGTAGCACATTTTGTCCAGATTTAAACAATGGAATTTAGGTCCGCAATATTCATTCATTGGTTAATTGTAAGACAAGTTTTGCATGCTATTCTAAAATAAAGCTGGAAATAATATATATGATTAGCTCTTAGTAGGTACCTGAGTAAGAGAGGTATCTTGTATCGATGACAAGGATCATGCTTGATGTTGAGCTGCCATGTCAAGAGGACTAGATGTTGTTGTGACCTAATCAAATTTGAACTATTTAATTTTACAAACACACACAAAAAGATATATGTATGTATGTATGTATATATGTGAAGAAAAACATTAATAACTTATAAATTCTATTAAAAAAATTACCTGGTTAGATGTGTTTGTCAAGTTATTCGGAGCATGCTGAACATAGGAAACTTTGGACCTTAGCTCCGAATTTTCAGCTTCCATAGCATCCATTGTTGTGTCTTGGTTTGCTTTATGACCAGATGTATCTTTCCATAATTTAGACGCGGAGACACCTAATCCATACATGCGAACATGTTTTTCTTTACCCATCCCTTGTCCAAATGTATCATTTGGGCCCTCATTTGATAAATTTGTCTTTAAAGTTGTCCTCTCATTCATTTCATCCTATAAGGTTGCAATAAACATAAATTAATATATACATTTCAATTAGTCAACACTATAATTTGGGAATTTTAACTAATCTACAAGTTCAAATGGACAGATAATTATTTGGTACATACTATCATTGCTTTCGTTGTCTCAGGGGTTCTAGTCTCCTTTGTATAACATACTTTAAACATGTGAGCACGTGTTGGAGAGTGTCCCAACTTATTCTTCTACAAAATAATATATTCCAAAATATAAATTATATCATTCTGTCACATCATGCGTACATTATCATATTAAATATACAACATGAAAAGATTAATTAACATGCTCCTTTCGAACACATGGAAAACTTTTTGTTTTAGTAGTATGATTATACTTTCGCTGCGCACAACTTGCTTTGTTTTTATCACTTTGTGCCTAAAATAACAAATGCATAAATTAATGGTGCCCAAACTATAGCAAGTCAAAGAACATATAATGATCAAATCAAGTATATCTTTACTTCTTCGATGGCCCAATACTTAACAAGGTGTTCCCACTGATCAGCATATACTCTACTATCTTTATAATGCTTTTGTTGGTCAAAACTCAAGAGGTTTTTATAATAATTTTTCCTTATATTTGCCTTCCAGTCTTTTAACTTCTTACCAAAGCACTTCATAACCCAATTCCTAGTTTGAATCATTGTGGTGTAGTTTGAAAGGGGTAAACTTGTTTTGTTGTAGAGTCACACTACAAGAAAATCAATTTTTAGTTACGTTTACACTAAACCGCTACAATAATTCACATTCAATTGAGATTGGTAATTCATTAATTTCAAACCACATTCAATTAAGATCATTGAAACCAAGTATAATCATGTCTCTAACCTTAGTAGTCTTATGTGTTCAATTTTTGTATATGATTTGTTTAATTTTATAATTTAAAGGAATTTTGGTTAATTGCTGGGGTCACGCAAAGGTTGTCATATGGGTCAAGTTATGTAATTCAATTTTATTTGTGGGTCTTATTTAGTTTCATGTAGGTTTATTTATTTATTATTATTTAGAAATTTCTAGTTGGTAAATGAATTTATATAAACTCATGTAGTGCATTTAATTGAATATTATATAGAATAGTTTTGGTAGAATTATTTCCAGCACATACCCATCTTTTGAGAATGTGTGATGCAATCAAACCTAGATGTGATGCCTGTGGACTCTAAGAGTGACTCCTAAAATTATCTTCTCCATGTCCTTCCTTTGTTGAATTTTCTACACTTTAATAGTCCAACCAGATTTGTTTGCATTCAATTCTCTAAGCCTGAACCTATCCTACCGAATTCCTTAACTGAAACTGATCAGCCCCAAATTTTATTCTTTTTCCTTATTTAATCAACCCTAAAACCCTACCTTTTTGTTGTCACATATAAACCTTAAAAGCATAGGTTTCCTTCTATATTAATTTTGGGCTCATTACTAGTAGGCGAGTGATCTTTACTCCTACATTAAATATGCAATCACTTGTGGATCCAAATAATGCAAATGTTTTGAGGTTGTTTTATCTGCTTCTGTGAGACTACAACAGACCAGAGCATAAATATATAACAGTTCAAAAATTAAACAAAACAGTTGTGTCTTTAAGGCAAATGGTTGGATGGTGCTGGAAAAGTCTTTCCTTTCGATCTACGCCTTGTTAGTGCTACATGTCTTGAAAAGGCCTCTCTTATGATTGATAATGTATGCAATTTCTTAAGTGTGTTCCATGTACACTTTTTGAGCTCCTGAAACATATATTTTTATTATTTGAAGTCTTTTCCCGTTCTGCAATTTTATTCATTTAGAAAGTGTCTATGTTAGGCTTTGCATTATAGTGCAGACAAGCAATCTTGTGTTAAGCTATAAAGTGAATAATACTAATAAAACATTGATCAATTGGCAACAAGAACTAGGCCTAATCCTAATCCTAATCCTATTTATGTGGAGTCAGCAACGGGAAAATAGTGAAATACATGAATGAATTCTGTTTGGTACAAGGCTTGAAAGGTAATGATAAATGATTCTAGATGTCACATTCTCACCTCTGTGCTATTCTTTGTTTCTTTCTAAAGGAAAAAAAGAAACCAGAATATGCTTCCTAGCTAGAATGTTAATAAATTGTATTCTTGAGAAACTCCATCCTAGTGCCATGGGCAATATACTCTGTAATCTGAAACAGACATGTATGTTTGGCTTATTCTTTTTTTTCTTAGTTTGGTTCCAAATGCATACTTCTTGATACAGTGTGCATCTAGTATAAAATCAAATATCCAATAGAAAATCCACAGCCACATGAACATTGAACAAATATCTAATATAAAATCAAAACAAAATATAATAAAAGGAATTTTTTTAATTTTTTTTTCTTATTCATCCTTGCAACGGAAAAAAAAAATAGAGAGAAAAATAATTGCAAGATCTCACTGAGACATTTAAACAAACACTAGCATGTCATTATATAAAATCACAACATAAATACAATAAAGTAAATCACAATTAACCCTTGATATTAAAAGATGAAAATTAAAACATTCATGGGTTAAAAGATTAGATTTTCATATTGTATCAAGTTTTATACGAAGATCATAAATGAGAGAGAAAAATAGAGGTATTCTGTGTGTAAGAATGAGAAAGAGATAAAGAATACCTAATAAACTCAGTAGATTGTAGAAGATGAAAAAACTACAAATTTGTGACGTAGATGTTAGATAAGAGTGGCGTGAAAGATGCATAATGAAAAACCTTTGCTTCATTATTTCGCTCCCGCCTCTTTGTCCCGCCAAAACTGATTTTGCTTCACCAATTTCAGATTTGTTCGACTTGTGGATTGGGTTATCGAACTCAAATTTGTTGGATTCGTGTATTGGATTGCTTCACCAAAATCAATTTTGTCCCACAACTACTCTAATTCATTTGGTGTAGTTTAGTGATTTTTTTCCTTTGCTTTCCCGTAAGTCTTAGTTCCCCTGTTTTTATCAAATATATATATATATATATATAGAATTGGTAATGAAGTGTTGAATTGGTGTACCAAAAATTAATTAATTTATTTATTTTTAAATAAGTTTGTTCACATTTTAGTGTCAAAATAAATAAATATCAATTTTGGTACTTACACTCTTAATTAGATTAATTTTGATTTTAAATTTTAAATTTTGTGTCAATTTAGTCTAATTGATAATACCGTTAGTGTTTTTGACGAAAAATGATTACTGAATTGGTTGAGATTAATTTACTGAATTGAGCAAATCTATAATTTTGCCTTTAAAAGAATGACATATGTATTTTTTCATAAAAAAATGCTAACAATTGGCGAAAATTACACTGTTAGTCCTCTATTTTGGCTATTGTGTTATTTTATGTCATTTTAATTCCTATAATTTCAATTAAATCAATTTTGACACTAAGTTTTTTATTTTGTCTCAAATTAGTGACTTTATCATCATATAGAAGAGCCGTTTGAAATTTTATTTATTTAGTTAATTCATATAAAGTCGTTGATCAATTTTATACATGTGGCTAAGTACAATTGAAAAACATATTATATTGACTTCAATTTATTTGTTTATATTTATTTTGTGCATTTTAAAAAATTTGGAAGTATATTGGCATTTTTTTTGTTTTTTAAAAAATGCCTTTACGCTATGTTTGGATTGAGTGATTTGAAGAGAAAAAAAAAAGAAAAGGAAAGAAATGTATTTCTCTTTCTTGTTTGGATAACCTAAGTGGAGAGAAATGGGAAAAAATTGAGAGAAATGAAGAGAAACTTATTTCTCTTATAAGTCTCATTTTCAATCTTCCCAAAAGTGGAGAGATTGGGAGAGAAAAGAAACCACTATTTTTATAATACCAATTTTGTCCCTATAAAAATAAAAGAAATAAAATGATTGAAAATATAAAAAGGTTACTTTGGCAATATAACATAAAATAATTTCTTTTCTTTTCTCTTAATGAAATCTAACCAAACAAGAATGAGAGAAATCACAATCATTTCTTTTCTTTTCTTTTCTCTTAGGCCCCGTTTGTTTTGGGTTATGAGAGGGGGATTGGGATTAGGATAGCTGTGGGCCACATTTAATGTGCTGTTTGTTTACAGAGTTGAGGAAGGGACTGATAAGCCAAAGGGCTTAAGATAGGCCTTGCAGATGGGATTCAGATGGGCCTCCAGGACTTGGTATTAAAAAAATAGTCCGGCGGACTAGAATTTTTTTTTATTATTTATTTTTTATTTTATTTTTTACATGTCGGGCATTTTTTTTTAACATTAATATTTAATTTTTTGTATTTTTTGTTAAATAAAAATCATTATTTTATTTTTTTATTTTTTTCTGAAAATTTAAATTTTTTTTTACATGTTGGGCATTTTTTTAAAAAAATTAATGTTTAATGTTTTTGTATTTTTTTTATTTGTTTTATTATTTTATATTTATTTTATATAAAAATAATTTAACAATATCTACACTAACAACTATCATCAAAACAAACACAATTTTATTTAATCCACTCACTATCAATCCTCTCACTAACAATCTCGTCTATTTTACCTCTGAAAACAAACGCGCCCTAAGATGAATAGACCTCAACAAAGTCCTTGGAATTACACCAAAGTCGGCCGGCTCAAATCAAAATGATAATTTCATTTTAGAATAAACTATTAATAAGTCTTAATAATCGGATTTAATTTCTATAAAATTTTATTGAAAATAATTCATAGTAAAATCATTATTAAAAATAATTTTTTGTGACAATTGCAGCTTCATGGGCTTGGCTGGGTACTACAGGAGGTTTGTGAAGGACTTTTCGAAATTAGCAGTGCCTCTTACCCAACTGACACGCAAGGGGCAATCTTTTAAGTGGAACGAAGATAGGTAATCAGCCTTTCATGAATTGAAGACAAGATTGACTACTGCACTAATTTTGACATTACCTTCAAGTACGGAAAATTTCGCAATCTTTAGTGACGCATCTTACAAGGGTTTGGGTTGTGTGTTAATGCAGAACGGAAAGGTTATCGCTTACGCCTCCCGACAGTTGAGGCCACATGAGAAGAATTATCCAACACATGACCTAGAATTGGCCGCAGTTGTTTTTGCTTTGAAAATCTGGCGGCATTATTTGTATGGGGCAAAGTGTGAAGTCTACACGGATCATAAGAGCCTAAAATACTTTTTCACGCAGAAAGAGTTGAATATGCATCAGAGAAGGTGGCTGGAACTAATAAAAGATTACGACCTAGAAATTCAGTACCACCCCGGAAAAGCTAATACAGTTGCTGATGCCTTGAGCAGAAAATCAATGGGGAGTATGGCCTGTTTACTTACTGAACAGAGAGAGATCTTGCAAGATTTTGAGAAGTCTGAAATTGAAGTGGTAATGTGTGAACAAGGCGGATTGATAGCCGCTATTACAACCGAGCCGGCGATCATTGATGAAATCAAACGGAAACAGAAAGAGGATGAGTACCTCAAGAAAATGATTGACAAATTCGAGGCAAGCCCGAAAGCAGAATTCAGTATTGAGAATGAAATGTTGAAATTTCGAAACCGGATATGTGTCCCAGATATCCTAGAACTAAAGAAGAGGGTTTTAGATGAAGCCCACAGGTCCATATTTGCTATGCATCCGGGTAACAATAAAATGTACCGAGATTTGAAACAAACCTATTGGTGGCCCAAAATGAAGAAAGAAATTGCAGAATATGTGTTCAAGTGCCTACAGTGTCAGCAAGTTAAGGTTGAACATCACAAACCAGGCGGCCTACTTCAACCTCTCCCTATTCTTGAATGGAAGTGGGAGCATGTAACTATGGATTTCGTTGTTGGCCTACCTCAGACTTCTCGAGGTATGGATTCTGTTTGGGTTGTAGTTGATAGACTGACTAAGTCTGCACATTTTTTGCCTGTCAAAACTACATTTACTGCTTATAGGTTGGCTACCATTTATGTTGATGAGATTGTCCGTTTACACGGAGTTCCAGTATCTATTGTATCGGATAGAGATCCGAAATTTGTATCTAGATTGTGGAAGAGTTTGCAGGAAGCTATGGGAACAGAACTAAGGTTTAGTACTACATTCCACCCACAGACAGATGGGCAGTCAGAACGAACGATACAGACATTAGAAGATATGCTTCGCATGTGTGCTTTGGATTTTCAGGGGAGTTGGAAAGATTATTTGCCACTTGCAGAATTTGCTTATAATAACAGCTTCCACTCCAGCATCAGTATGGCACTATATGAGGCTTTATATGGTAGGAGGTGTAGATCACCTATCTGTTGGACGGAGGTCGGGGATAGAGCTTTGTTTGGGCTAGAAATTGTGCAAGATATATCTGAGAAAATCAAGACTATTCGCCAAAGGCTCAAAACAGCTCAAGACCGACAAAAGAATTATGCAGACGTTCGAAGAAGACCTCTTAAGTATGAGGTTGGTAACCATGTGTTCATCCGTGTTTCTCCGATGAAGGGCCAAGTCAGATTTGGGAAAAAGGGCTAGTTGTCGCCCCGCTACATTGGGTCGTTTCAGATTTTGGAAAGGCTTGGTCCAGTTGCTTATAGAGTTGCCTTACCACCGGGATTCGAACAAATCCATAATGTGTTTCATGTGTCAATGTTGAAGGGTTACCTCCGAGACCCGTTATATGTGATTGATTATCACCGGGTTGCTATTGATGAAAATATGGAATATGCTGAATGGCCGGAAAGAATTGTTGACCGACAAGTGAAGGAATTGAGAAACAAATCCATTCCAATGGTGAAAGTGGAATGGAAGGAACACTATGGGACAGATGCTACATGGGAAAAAGAGGAGGAAATGCGTCTACGCTATCCACATTTGTTTCCCGACGAAGGTAAATTAAGTTTGGAGGACCAAACTTCCTAAAGGGGGGAAGACTGTAATACCCCTATTTCGTAGCATGCCAATTGGTCCTTAAATTGAGTATGATTACGTGTTTACCATGATTTTATGTGCCATTATGTGAATATATGTGATTTTGAAGTTTTATCTGTTCACCGTAGGAATATCTGTTTGAATAATCAGCTTTGGAAATTTAATTGAGGGCCTTATCGACCACAGAACCCGGAATTGAATGAGTCACCCACTAATATCTGGACTTGTAATAAAAATAGCGAGTCCAATGGTGGCAACGAATGGGCTATTGACAAAAATCAAATTTTGGGAAACGACATAACGTCAAAGGCAAATGGCTGAGGGTCCAGCAGAGGGGGTTCGGGTTCTTCGAGTGAAAAGGGCCACAGTGATGATAGGAAGAAAGGAATGTGGGGTTGGCAAATTACAGAATTTGAGAGCTATAGAAACAATCTCATTTGCAAGTTGTTGGTCCAGTTGGGGGGTTAATCTATTCTATTATTAAAGGGGAACACTAATTTTGGTGTCATGAAGCCTGGCTTATTTTTTATTTATTTTTTTTTAATTTTTTGTGATCAAGAGCATGTAATGAGTTGATTTTTGTTGAGTTTGGAGTCTTAGAACTCATGCATATAAGAATTACTTTGAAATTGCACGTTTGAGCGTGACACATATGATTCATGTAGAGTTTTGGTTAAAGCTCATGTTATAATCACCATTTGTACCATTTGAACTCAAATTGGGAGCCAAAACATACATGCATGTTTGATTTTTGGAGGAATGGAGCTTATATGGAGTTTGTAATATAGGAGTTTTGTTCATACATAAGAAATGAGAGTTGTTTGGGAATTAGATGATAATTTTGAACAAATTGATGTAACATCCTTACACTCTCGTACAATATAATGTGTTTATATGTTTTTGGGACCAAAATCATGAGTTGAAGCCCTTGAACATCGAAATTGAAGCTCAAGAACTCAATCTGGAATCTCTAGAATTTTGATTTCCGCTCGAGCGTGGGAAGGGCCGCTTGAGTGGAGAAATCGTGCTCCCAACACTTTTTGCAGAGTTGGATGTCCGCTCGAGCGGG